CCCCTGTGCCATCCGAACAAAAAAGGTACGGCGCAACCACCTTTGCCGTTTGCACTGCCCCCCTCAATAAAAACAAAAAATAAATGAATAACTAATAGAATTAAATAGAAACGATTGTAAAAAGAAAAAAACAGACATGCGACGAAAGAAAAAAAGGTCGACGCCACGAGGGAGAAAAAAGCACGTAAAAGTGTTCTGCTTATATGTTAGTCGGAGTCCTCTAGAGAACCAGAACGAAAAAGAACGCGCACCCAAAAATAGACAAAAGGTCGGCGCCCAAAAAAATGGGACAAAACTAACCTGGACCTTCTTTCGGGGTGTCCTGTCTGGAGGTCCCTTAGTGGTGTAGTGTAGGGGCTTCCAGAAAGGGCACCCCTTTTTCAAGGTCCTGAAACTTAAGGCGCCAACAACGACGGAGGGAGCAGCCGCACCGCTCCGCACCGCGCCTCCCCAGCCCCAGCCGCCTTTGCCCCATCCTTTCGAGTCGCCCTTCCTCGGACCGCTGTTCGTTCAGCGTCAGTCGACCATCCACCGCTTCGTGGTTCATCGGTGCGTGGTGTGACGTCACCCGGGAAGCCGAGAAGAACACAGGGAGGAACACAGTCACCCTATGGATCCACTGCCACCGAACCTCAGAAGGTAATTGTACCCGACAATGGCGCCTACAGAAATAGTCTCCCTGCTCACCTTCTGAGAAGGTATGTGGATCCACAGGGTCAGGTAAATTTCAGATTGCTTCTCGGAAACAGGGTCAGGGCTTTGGGTGGGGTGTTGGGTTGGTGGTTGGTTCTGTCTACTTGAGGATCGGGCAGTGCAAACACCGTTCATTTCTGTCCTGAGTTCTGTGCCCCTTTCCGTCCTGGTACATGAGTAGCGCCGCTTTGAAAACGCGCGTGGTGACTGCCACGAGCGCCAGCAGACGCCCGAAACATCTGAGACCCTGCCCTGGCTGGATAGACAGGACTATTTCCCTTCTGAAATCCTTCTTCCAGGGGGGTCGTTAACAGGGGTTTTCGTTGGTCTCCCTGTTTCTTGATACGCAGCCATATCAGGAGCGGCCAACCTAGTAGCGATGGCCTCCACCCTACTAGCGATGGCCATCGAGATTGTAGTATAGTCGATTAGGGGCTTTCCAAACGCGCAACCTGATGTTTTGGGGCTCTCAGAAGCTTCGAAAAGCCACAAGGTTTGCAAAACAAAGAAAAGGGGGAACAAAAAAAAAGATGTCCTCCTCAGAAGCCTCAGAAGCCATGCAAGGTATGATCATGATAGTGCAGGTCAGTTGGGGTGACGAACGATGTTCGACGGTGACGAACGAGCACGCAAAGGATGGGACGACCTTTCCTTACAGCATGACGAAGCGACTGCCCTAAGACCTTTCGTAAAACAGATCTATGCCACACGCTCCATGAAACTGGCAATTTTTGCATACATTGACTGAAACCACCCCAATGTACGTAAATATGCTATACACATGGAGTTTTTGGTAATGAAGACTCGTGTAGTCTATCGCCTAAAAGCCTTTCAAGTAGTTCTTCCCTTACCGGATGTGTGCAATTCACCTTGGACACGGCGACTACTGTGCGAATCTTTTTGGGGATGTGTTCAGTACAAAGGGACATGTTACCCACTCGAAATGCATCTAAGTACATTGGAGCCTCTTCCTGCTGACAGTCAAGGTTCATCCAAAATCAAGGTGATCCAAAGTAGGGGATGGAATGATGCCCAAGGCACTTCCCAGACAGAAAACAAAATGATGTCGAAAATCCTCGCATGTGCCTCGGACTGTTTCTATCTCTAGTCGGCGACCTTCTTCGCACCCACCCCACGCAAGCGCTGAATGCCATCCAAAAGACTCACCCCAACCACCACCCCAGCCGCCGCAGCCGCCACAGCCGCCGCCGCCGCCCCAGCTGCCTTTGCCAGAGCTGGCCCCTTTGGCCTCTCATTGAAAGAAAGGTTTGCAAAACACACAGACTCTCCATGTGATGTGTGCTTGCACCCCTGAAACCATCATGGAGTTTTCTGGAAAATGGGCATGATCATATAATCATAGTATCTTTCGCTGTCACAAAAAAAGACCGGTGCAGGTCCCAACATGCAGCTTACACGTGTCCGACGAGTTTTCCAGCAGCAAGCTAAGCACCTCAAGAATATAATATAACATATTTTTTTGTACCGTACAACATGTAATGCTACATTTTGCAGGTCCTTCACTACATAATTCACTCAAAAGCTGCAACCTTGCATGTTCCTATAGGAATAAATGTATTCATATACATGTTTGGGATGGCAGAAACAAATGTCTTCTTGGGCTTCACGGGGTGCAGTTCTAAATGTAACTTCCAACGAGGGAGGTCTGATGTTACATTTATTGAGCCCCTACCCCCACAAAAAAGGTAATTAGGTACCTGGGGGTGGGGCTGAACAAAACACCTACTCTCCCTGGAACTCCAAAAGCAGTGACGCATTGAGTGAAACGGTCCGCTCTTCGGAGTTGTCGGAGTCGAAACTGGGGCCACTGTCCCATCCACCAGTCCCAGAGAGTTGTTGAGAACCAGGACCTAAGGGTATCGATGGAATTTTAAAGGTTACTGAACCGGGGTGTCTAGTCACCACCCGAGCTCCGGGTCAGCCTTCTGAACCTAGCCCCCAAACCACCCGGCCCATGGAGGCGACACTCCACCTTCTTCACCACCACCCCGGCCCACTCTCTTCGTCACCAGCATGAGTTCCAGGGTGATCAGTCGAAAAAAGTGGCTGCTGGTCCTAGACCATTCAGGAGAGTGCCGAAACCCCAAGGGGGGTTCTTTGTCAGGTCATGAGAATCATACCTTATAGTTTTGGTTGATCACTTCGTTCCACGAGTTCAGCCAAGTGGCAGAATCACTACCACCGCTGCTGCCCTTGCCACTTTGACCCCAGCTGCCACCGGCGCTGAAGCCCTTGTAGCCTCAGCGTTTCTGCACCGCCGATGTCTGGAAGTGAGTGGAGTAAAAAGGGAAGTGAGTAGAGTAACTGGAAGTGAGTGGAGTAAAATGGACATCCGCATGTCTTCACCACATCCAAATGCCCTCCATCCAACAGGTGTGCGTCTTCGCTGTTGCATTAGACAAGCTGTGCCCACAATGGTCTTTGTGTTCATGTCCATAAATCTTGGAGAGCACGGGGCTTCCTTTAATGCCAACTCTACTGTACTATATAAAAGATTGCCTGCATCAATCAGAATTGGTCTGTCAGTTTGCACTTTGCACAAGCTTCCAGTTGGTGTGGACTGACCTTCAGTAGGACTAGTAGGACTCAGACTGTTGCTACTAAATTATATACTTCTTTCACTTGTGGGCGACTGATAGGTCACATGGTGGCAGTTCTTCTCAATCTTTCCCTGAGAGTCCACTTGATGAAAAATGGTCGCCTTCCGGGTGACCTTCCAAGAACTGAACTTCACACATCTTCACATGAATCAGGGGGCAGTCTAGGTCGCCTTCATTCGGAACTTTCTCTCAGGTACATCTGGTGTTTTAGGTACATCTGGCATCCTGGATTGGAATTCTGGTGGAATCCTGGAAGGTCCTTCCCACCATCGCACCTGCAGTCCTGCACCCCATCGATCCTCTCGCCGCCGAACAGGCTTCCCTTCCCATCCACAAACCGAAGCAGGCAGACGAACGCTCCACCCCAGTCCCTGGCACGTCCATCCCACCCCAGGTGGGTTGGAAAGTTCTCTGGCCGCAGATCGGTGGTTTCAAGACGAACGCTCCACCAACTCCCAGTAGCTGGGCTTCCATTGCGTCTGCTGGACGCCCTTCATGGGGGCTCCGGTGCCTAGAGCGCGCACGCCCGCGAGAGTTCCAGGCGAGGGGATGGGGAACGCCGGGTGAGGTGAAGAAAGAGGTATTGAGGTACAATGTTTTGGTACTATGCTATCTACATGGTGTTATGTTTGGGGCAGCTCTGCTATGCTGAGTCCTGCATGATATTATCGCTGCGCGCGTACGTGTTTTGTTGATGGTGTTACGAGTACATGCTTGAAACACGAGCCCCCTTTCATCCTTTGGATGGAAAATCGATGTCCACCCCCTTGTGAAACACCACCCCCCAGCGGTCCTCCATTCCCGCCTCGCCGCGGCCGCGCGCCCCACCGAGGCCAACCCGTGTCTCTTGGGGCACAGCCGCAGCGCCGCTGCGTCGGCGCCGCGTCGCCCGGACGGAAGGGTCGCTGTCCCCGAAGGTTTGAGGAGAGAAGGGTCCGCCGTGTCGGCCGTCCGACGGTTGGGAGAGGTTGGAACCCAATGACTTGTGCAGCTGCAGCGGACTCGTGAAAAAGAGCCCTCCGCCCTCCCTCCCCGAAGAAGAAGAAAGGCCGGGCTTTTCAAAAAAAAGGAAGGGACACGTGAATTCAGCACAGGTTTGGTAGAAAACAAGGCGAGTGTTGGCAGTGTTGGGTTGTCTTTCAGGGCTCTTCCGGTCAACGGCGGGGGGGGCCGAGAGGCCCAATGGGTGATCACCCTGATCCCTAGCGGCATGCCGATCCAGTCACCTGCGCATCTGGGTACGCCCTCATGGACAGACATCAATCGCTGGCCTCCAACCTCATAGCGATGGCCTCCAACCTACTAGCGCCTTTAGGAAATCGCAACGAACATTGAGATCCGAAATGTTGAGCGCAGATCTTGTAGACATGTGGGTAATGAATGACCCTCCGCAGGCGCACGTCATTTTCCTTCCATTGGTGCATGAAGCAAGACTGGTACTGGCTGACGCACAGCCACAAGATACACAGTGAGGCAGGGCGTCTTTTTGGCAGATTGATCCCATGGAGGCTCGATGCCTGAATCCATTTAGCCCTACTCATAGACTATCAGACCATCCCAAATAGTGTTGGAAGTGTGCAGCTCCAGTCAAATGAAGGAGCAAAAAAAGCTTATTGCTAAGCAAGGCAGAAGCAAAATCTAGCTCATTCCACGAGGCCGTTCTACCTGATCAACCTCATGACTTTGCCTCTTCGGTCGCGTTCGTCAGAGTTCGCTAAATCCATCGATCAATCCGCTCGGTCGATCGGCTCGTACCGGTCCCAGGATTTGGGCTCTGGTGGCTCTGGCTTCATGAGAGGAAATGGGCTTGCCGTCCTCCGTCGATGCAAAGGCGTTGGGAGGAAATCAGAATTTCAGAGGAGGAATTGGACGCTTCGAGTAGGAGTATTAGAGTATTTGAGGAAAGCTTTACCTCTTGTCTTCCTTCTGAAGTATTGTAAGCTTTGCCTCTTGTCTTCCTTCTGAAGTAGTGTGGAAAGAATTGTCAAACTTGATCAGGCGCTGCGGACAATGTTCAGATTCTGGTTTGGAGTGCCATGCTTGAAGAAAAGAACCTGGTAAAGGCTGTGACGTCTTCTTCTCACTCACCCTGCCCCCAACATGTAAGTCCGGACTCTCCCCTCTATAAGTGTCCAAAACCGAACTCCGAAGCAAAGCGAGGGGTGCGCGTCGCCGGTCCCACCGGAGGGGCCCCATCTGTCGGCACAACGCTCACCGTGCCGAGTGATTGGGCTCAAAGGGAACTCGTTGGGAGTGGAACCCGGACATGACCTCTGTTTTGATAGGAACTTTGGACCATATTTTGGGTGGTTGGGGGTCCTCAAAGTGAGGTCAGACTCAGGTTCTAGGTCTGTAGAGTGATGAACCAAATCAGCGACCGACTTGGAGGATTCAGTGACCGACCTGGTCAAGCCCCTGACCACAAAGTCTTTCCATGGTGAACCTGGACTGGTCGACCCACTTCGGCCCGAAACGAGCGGACTGGATGTGCGGCTGTTAGTGGGGACCTTCAAGGACTAAAACCTCTTCGGCGCCTAAGGACTTACCCAGAAACCGAAGGAACATCGAACAATCACCGGTTCTTCCCGCCCAAGCCAGGCTGGCGCCGGCTGTGGGGACCTCGTGCTTTCTTCGAGCCTCACGAGCCGATGACCTCCTCGGCTCCCAAACCACTGGCATCCTGAAGATGGGCCGGCCAAACGAAGCGTCCGTTTCGATAACCTTCTAGGTCCTCTTCTGATCCTTCTTCAGAGAGGAAGGTCGGGGAAGGGAAGAATGGGATGGAGATGGGAGGTGATGGGATTGATTTTGAGGAGAAATGAGGGGTACCACCCACGCATGGAATTTTGAAAGTTGCAGGCACGGCGCGTTCTGTGGTTCTTTTTGCGCGTGTACAGCGAAAACCGGCAAGCCGGCATGGGGAGGTAAAAGCGCATATGAGCAATGCTACCAAACACTGCCTGTCTACATCATATCTGAGCCTGTTTTCCCGTGCCATGTTGGTGTCGATGACCAGTTCCCCAGGTTTGGGTGTCTCAAAGAAAGGTGTTCCATTAGCTGGGGTAGATCCTTCTCTAGATTCTCATTAGCCGGAAAAGTGAGGACTAGGAACAAGAAGCTACTAGGTGGAGGCCATCGCAGGCCATCGCCATTAGTAATAAAGCTTTTTGGTATTTCTTTGAAGCTACTAGTAACGAAGGGCATCGCTACTAGGAGCAAGAAGCTACTAGGGGCGCTCCTGGCATTTCTATTTACTAGTGACAGTAAAGATCAATAAATAGAGCTAATTCAATTGATTCATAGGGTCAGCAGCTGGCGGTCGTCACTCCTTATTCAGGACTTTAGCCGGGGCCCAGGAACCACGTCACACGTCGTGAGCCCTGCATGGATTGAAGGTGAATTCCCCATGAAACCTTGAACATAGAGCGCTTCGGCGCTTCGGTCTCAATTTGGACACTCTGCTTGACCTGCTTTTGGTGATTCTTTTCTAACTGCTCAAAGCTCCCTTCCAAAATCGTTGGATCAAAACACTTCAGCACCTTGCTAAAGCTGCCCTGCAGCTTTCGCGTGCCCTTCGCACCCCAACCCTTCGCACGCCAAACCGCGAAGGCCTAACGGCCCCTTGTCCCCGAAAACACACGGATCCCCAAAACGTGCATTCTGCGCATCGCCCACAACTCCGCCAATGCCAAACATGAGCCGCCCCCTTCCCAACGGGGCGGCTCATAACCGATGCTCGTTCCGAGCAAAAATTCCAACGAGTTTGAGAACCACGGGTTCCGAGGCGAAGAAAAACCGAGAACCCGAAAGAAGAAAGAAAGAAACCGAGCGGTTCTTCACCACGATGGGGCTTTCAAGAACCGAATCCCCTGTCCGGTGCGAACCGATGGTTCCACCCCCTCGCGCGCCCCCACGCCGAGCTGTGGGGCCGCTCGGTGCCTCGAAGAGATGAAATTGACAAAGGCTCCCCACCGTCAAGGCCTCGAACGGACCCGCAGGCGATTGGCGCGTGGCGCTTGGCTTGGCGCGGAAGGTGCGCGAGATGGAAGGCGCGCGATGGGGGAAGGCGAGGCGAGGAATTTCCGGTAGCAGATCTCGGCCATCACTGCGAACTCTTTTAAAAAAGAGGAAACGTATCTGAAGATTCTGAAGGTGTTGGGGAGACTCAAGATGATTGACCTAGATCCATGAGACTTGGATGTCACAGAAACAGGTCAAAAACCTGTCGCTTTTGACCTTCCATCAGCCTCTTTCAACTTCAAGACTGCAGGACTAAAACCTTCTACAATACTCAAACTATCTTTTCTGGCCAAAGTTGCGAGCTTCATTGCACAAACTATCATAAACTCATGGTTTGCTAGGTGAGCCGTTCCACAACTTCAAGCACTCCACTACTTCAGCACCAGCTTTTTCGTCTTAAGACAGCAAGCACATCAACTCATATGTGGCTCATCTGGTGTGCAAACCAATTATTGCAATGCATCTTCTGCAAGCTGAAGCTTGCACGAGGTGGGCTGAACAAAGAACTCAGCTTGCACTGATAATGCATCATTAATAACGTTCAAAAACAGCGTAGCACGGGCAAACGGGTCGAACATCATACGGTTGAGGCATGCCAAGTGCTTTCTCCAAATCAATACGTAGATCATACTGAAAGTGCCCCGGAGTGGCAAGAATCACGTGGAAGCTCGCATAGATGCTTATCCTCATCCAAAGTGCCCCATACATGCTGAACCTTGGCACGCGACCACTGGGCTGTTCCAAAGATCTCGGTGACTGCAACATTCCGGCTATGATCTGAGGAGTTGAATTCAATGGCTATAAGCACGCAGTTCTCCTCTGTATATCCCACTTCATTGTTCAACCGCTCAAGCGAAAGGCGCCAATTCGTATGGACTTCTTTGTACTGCAAAGGAACCCCAGAATAGAAGCATCTACCTTGCTGGCGTGCCAACAAGCACAACAGGTTTGACAAACTTATGCTGCATTCTTGCCCTCGCAACTTGGAACGACTCTGCGCTCCAAACAGAATTGCTTTCAGGTGGCCGCGCAAGGTTGAGCGATAAGCACGACCCACCACTTTGTCACACTGTTTGCAGGATGATCTATGTCCACTCAATTTCGAAGCATCCCTATAGAAATCAGCATGGTGTTTCTGCTCCAAGCATTTGGTGCAATGTGCAAAGCCTGGCTCTGGACTTGGCTCTGACTGCATTGACATTTTTGGTGCATTGCCTCTTGACCTAGGCATCCTTGGAGGTGGGAGCAGCGCTCCTTCGATATCTTTGTGAAGCGACGCCAAATCCAAATTGGTCTGGCGCAAAGCATGAACTTGCTGAACCTTTTCTGCTGACCATTGTGCAGTTCCTTTGACTGCGTCTGCATCAACGCCTGGGTGGCGACTATAATCCGAGCTGTTGAATTCAGCAGCAATCAGCACGCAGTTTGCGCGGGTGTATCCTATGCTGTTGTCAACCCGCTCAAGAGAGACTCGCCAATGACTGTTTGGAAGTACCAACTCCATTGGCACCCCTGAGTAAGCACATCGTGCCTCTTGATATGTCAACATATCACAAACATGTTCACACGTCAAGGAAAACTCCTGTCCACGTGCATTGGCCTTGCTTTTGGCATTGGCCAGCATGTGAGAGATGCATCCGCGCAAAGTCCGAAAATATTTCAAGCCTTGCTCTTTTCTGCAGTCTATGCATCTGCTATTTGGCTTCTGCCTGGCTGTCGCAAAGTAGAAGCTCTCAGCTGGTAGCCACTTGTGGCAAGAAAGGCACTCCCACTCCCCTGCATGGTTGGCCAACCTGCTCTCTCGCCTTGGCGGATGGCTTGTGTCACGAGAAGGAGACAACCTCCCAACAGCAATCATCTCCTTCAATTGGTTAGTGCTGAGTGGTTTGGGTGCGCATTGCTCAAGTTTGGCTGAGGCAAGTTCTGTGGTCTTCCAGCAGTCACCAACCAACGAGCGTGACTGAACGAGGCTTGATGTCGTGAATGTGTACTGTAACGTTCTTCCTCCAGCAATCACGCAACAACGCCCCACAAAGGCCGCGCCATGTATCCTCATCATGGGCATCTTCAGCAAAGCACGCAGGTGACACTTGTGAAAAATAGATCTGCAAGCAACTCTGTGTAACCATATGCCTCCTACCCCAATTCCCCAAAACCCCTTGATCGTCACCCCTTGACCGTCAGCCTAGCTATTCGTGAAAAAAAGAAGACCTAGCCCTTCGTTGCCGCCAGCAGGCCTCGAGGCCGCCCTGGAGGTCATTCATGCTGACCTCAAGCAGCGCTCGGAGAGAAGGGTGGAGACAGAAGGCTTCTCCCCGTCTTTGTTTTCACCAAATGCTTTACATGTTCAAACAAAAATGTGTGTTTTCTATTTTTGTTCGAACGTACAAGAGTTATCATAGTGTCATTGGTCAAGAAGGTCAAATGATGTCATGATGGCGTAGGAACTGGATCCCGGATTATCATTGCCTCCGTCCTCTTTCAGATGAAAAACTACCCAGGGCGCCCCCAACAGCTGCTGCTGCGTCTACCGTACGCTTGACGAAGAAGCGGAGACGCGCACAGCGCAGGGGTTGTGCTTTCTGACACCAGCGCTGGACTCGAAGGTCAAGGAGGTGTCGAAAGGGAAAAGAAAGATCAGAAAAGGGGGCCGGGGAGGTTCGGGAAGTACAGTACTTGGAGATGACTGGTGCGAGACTCATCTTGATGTGGGCGATGTGGGTTCACTCTGACGACCACAGAGGTCCATCCCAAGTTGGCAAACAGAAGTACGAACAATCTCTGCTGCGAGCCGTGTCACCGCTTCAAAACAGATCTTCAAAGTGGAGCGTCCACCCGATCGACACGCCCAAGGAATCGCACACCGTGGAAGAAAGGGCGATTCGTCAAAGCAGTCGTCTGCTACAGCTGGAGCTGCATGCCAAAACCGCACCAGGTTCTACCAGAAAATCGACAGCTTCACCTCCTCTGCCAGCTCCAAGTGTCCTGGGACCCTTAAAAAGAGGTCCGCAATCTCATGAGGACCTTCCTTGGGGCGGTGCGCATCCAAATATGATCGGTTTGACCCGCCCGAAAACGAGCGCTCAGGCGTTCATCCCCCGAAAGGGGAGAGGCTGTGGCTGTGGTGTCATGGCACCAGGGGACCCGGCTCTGGTCAGTTTCGGGCTCCAGGCCAGCTGACTCACAGTTCTCTCTCCGAACCCCAAGTGTTGTCAAGAAGATCTCAGCCTTTGGACCATGTCGAAATGGCCATCTTTTGAAAGCTATCTTTCATAGCCACGTACCTCAGAAAACCAAAAAACAAACACATTCCAAATGACACCCAACAGCATAAACCGTGATGGTGATTTTGACGCCTGACCCCATCGAAACGTCTTTGCGCTTTATGAGCTGATCTGCTACCAGATTCAGCACACCGTCGACCAAATCAACTGACCTCGTCCGCCGAATGTGCTGGCCCAAGAGACGTAAATGTGGCCCTGGCATTGGAGCATGTGGCGAAGGGCTTTGGGTGTCCAAAAAAGAATTCCTGCAGGTCAAAGACCTCATTTCACTGGTGTTGGGCATACACTACTCAATGAGGTGTAAAGGACCAGGTTGTACTCAGTCGGACTAACCTGTAGAAGATGGATAACGATACAACAACTTCTTCATTGGATGTATATCGCTACCTCACTTACCCGCCAACTTGGTTGCTCCCTATTCTATAGACTATAGATATAACTACAGTATCAGTATATACATATACAATTTAACCAAGCCCAAACTGATCACTTGCGGTGAGTGTCCTTTGCTTGCCTTTCCATGAAGAAAATACAAAGGCGCCCAAGAACCATTCACGCAGGGTGCAAGAAAGTCGTCTGCCCAGGGCTTGGTGCAAGGTCTCTTGTGCTTTGCACCTTTCCCTACGTTCGTCCAGTCTGACCCAGTAAAGCCTGGTCTTTTACCTCCTTAAGTATTGGTTTTGTATGGCCATCCCCAGTAAAATGAGGTCTTTGACTGTCTTTGACTTGTAGGCTTTTGGAACATACTTGCCTTGATCAGCGTCTGCTCACTTCGGAACCAACGTCCACCCCCCTGTTCTGAAGGATCCCCGCACCACTTCGGACCCCACCGGTGGGTGTTCGAAGGATCGCCTTATGCCGGTCCGCCATGTGGTGTTCGATCGGAACGGTGGGCTTGATCCAGCCATACTTGCCTGACCAGCGAGGCGGACGAAGGCGAGAGCGACGAGACCAAAGGAGAAGTCCATTCGGACGACAAACGTCGCCTGAAAATACCTGGAACATAAAAGGGTCACCGAACGGTCTACCTGTTCTTGATTTAGTGCGCAAACCGCCACTCCCAACAAAAAGGCGACCGGCAGATCCACATACGTCCTGGGTATGTTGTTACTAGATGCTTCGACGAGGTCTGGGTCCCGAACGCGGCGACAGGAGGAGCGATGCCTCTGGTTTCGGAGCCGTGTTCCAACTACGGGGGTGGGTGCTAACTCTACCTTCACAGGTGGTGCTTGGAGGCCTGGCCCTCGGGTCTCTTCCGTCCATGTGCACCGACGCGGCGCGGAAAGAGGCGCCAGGCTGGGCCTTTCCATTCCAGCACCTCTCCTGGGCGTCGAAAGCGAGTCACACAGGGCACGTCCGCCGGGGCGACCGATGCGCAAGGGCAAGGCGCACCGGTTTCTGTGAATTAAAAGAAGTTGAACTAAACCCTACAGGTCAAGGATGGTCAAGGACCTCATTGGACGGTGTTTCTGTTTCAATGTTACAAAAGGCCATTTTAAGGAAGGCGACCGTCTTGCCATGCCAAAGGGCCTCCAAAAAGAGAAGACTCGGCCTGGAAAAATCATCCTGTTGCCTGAAGCAATAAGTGTTGAGGTGGATACGTTCTCGGAAGCAAGAACATGTCTGGGTGTCCGATGGAGATACCAAGTACAAGTAGTGTAGGGTAGTTCGGCCAGGATACCGCTCGGATGGTCCTGGTACCCTCATTGGATGTCTTGTTCTTTTCGGAATGTTTGATTGCTTTTCAGAACTGATGGTGCAGGAAGTGAGGGACTCCGGATTTTTCGGCGGCAGGAATGGGTGGTGGACCCCCCGAAGTCCGAGTTTTCGACGGGTGCACCCATCTTGGAATATGACTCGTGGGTGTCCGTGATGTTTCAAAAGCGAAACAGAATGGACCAGGAGGCATTTGTTCCACTTCCAAATGATGTGTTGGTGAGACCGGGCGGCTCTGTCGATCCGTGTAGACCGAGTCTTGCACCGCCATGAAAGGCGCGAAACGCTGCAGAAGCACAGGTCGAAACACATGCCCTACAGCAAAACTGGGCCGGAGGGTGAGTTTGTGGATGCAGATGTCTAACTGTACCTTCCTTGTCTCAAAGCCATTTTTCCGAACTGGGCCAGCCACGAACTTCCCACACACAAAAACCAGCCACTCCCACCTGAAAGGACCTTAAAAAGCACCTGAGAAGGCACCATTCCAACCCCATCCCCCTGCTTGACCATGGAAAATGAGAAAAGAGACTTTGGCCATCCCCACTCCGCCCTCTGCCTCCCCTCGTCTCCCTTCACGCCCCGAGCGTCCGGTCACCGGCTCGGTGGAGATCCGCGCGCGCGCCAGGTTGGGCCCTGAAGGCCAGCGCTGCTGGAACTTGCCCTTGCCCTGGCCGTCCGTCGGCGTCCGGGGGTCGCGCGGCAACGGAATCCACGCGGTGACCTTTGGTTGGTCGTTCCGGGTGGTTGCGGGTGGTTTGGGGTAGTTTGGGGTGGCACACGAAAGAAAACGAAACAAGGCAGTGAGAGCAAAGAGAATCTTTCTGAAGAATGCAGGAAGCGCCTTCCTTGAAATGCCAGGGCTGGAATTCAAAAAGAAATACAAACCATTGACATACGGAAGGCCACAGGACGTTTTGATCTTCTCACACCCAATGGAGTCAAGCATCTTCCAATCTTTCCGAAAACAATTCGTGCGGCCGAACTCCGAGGTCTTTGTTCCGAGTGCTGCCGGTCTGCGGTACGCGCCAGCGCGGGACTCGGGACTCCTCGGTACTCGCGTGCTGGGCGGCGGACGCCGGCGCGGCGTACGCTGGGGCGGGGACGGTGCGCCTTACCCTTCCAATAGCCACCAAAGTTGCTGCCCATCATCATCCCACCTTTCAGGCCACCTGAGGGGCCGAAGGAGTCTGAGCGGAGTCGGAGTCGAAGAGCGTGGCAAAAGAAGGAGCGAGATGGTGGAATGGATGGATGTTGGCACCCCCAAGAAACGGGCATATACTGTATATGGTCTTGGGGGCGAGCCCAGGAAGGAGTTCGGATGAGTTAAAGGGCAGAAGATGGATCTTACACAGTGGGTTTAGAGTATGGCACAATCCCCAAGTTTGTTGGGTTAATAGAACCCCCATCTGAAAGACGTCTTGGGGGTTGTGCCATCATTGATCTATCCAAATCTATCCAAATTGTCGGAAAGGCTTCATCCTGAGGCATACGCAGCTGTGCTTGGGAGGAAGAGAAGATATCCCAGGTTGCTCATCTCTCAAAGTTTGTACAGCCCAGCCCAGAATTTCGCCCCCCCCCAGGCGTTTCGGAAGCGTTTGAATCTCTTCAGCAGTTTAGGAGGTGGAAGTCCTGCTTTCCCGCCTAATCATTCCAAAAATCAGGATGTCAACACAAATCCCAGCTCGATAAAGGGATTCAAAGGTCATGGCTCGCTCCAAGGTCACTCCCATACCGGCGCGACAGCCCGCCTTTGCAGCCGCCCCAGCCTTTGCCTTAAAGAAACGAGACCATGAAAATCCCTGAAACCCGCTTTCGAACCAACAAAGACATGTTTTTTCCATGGAACCGGCTTTCGCCCCCCCAATCGCATTCACCCACACCACTCGCGCGAGTGATCGAGCCCAACCCGTTGGGAGGGACGGAGAGAGGTGTATTTCACGGAACATCCTAGGTGATCCAAAATGGTGAGACTTGGGTCAAACGCAATAGTTAGACCAAACGAGTTCGTGTGTTTCTGAACGATTAATCAAATTAGACCTGACAAAATGCTTCTGAGAGTACCTACACGATACGGAAAGCTTCAATCACGTAGGCCTCAATGAGGCTTCCGAGATCTTGATCTCTAGAAGTCAGGATGGGCCGGGGGGCACCACATCTGCTGCAAGACCCCTCAACCGAAAGGGACTGCTCCCTGGCCAGCGGTGTCCCACCTAAAATGTGCACCAATGGGCACTGTGGAAAGTCTTTCAGAGGGGATTCTGCAAGTTCTTGGCCTGCTGAGGAATTGAGGCTTTTCCACATCTTTGGTAGGGAAGCCAATCCTAAATCCTAAAACAAGTATCTGCAGAGACCATCCCAGCACATACCAAGTAAAGTCGGTATGAATATGGTAAGTGGTGCAGCATTCTATGCATCTGGAGCAGTAGCTAAAAGGGCTACGTCAAGCCTTCCATATACCTCCTTCTTCACAAGCACGGATATATCTCTTCATCTACGGATTGGGGAAAAAAAACTAGGGTTCTTCAGATTGACCAAAGCTTTGGTTCCAATCTTGTTTGCTTCAGCTTCGTCCAACCAGGCGTTTGATGCGAGGCGTCGATTGCAGAACAGCACTGGGGATCCTCCTTGAAGGATGGTGACCCTCAATCTGACCGATGGTGAAGCAGGGAAGCATGGTGCCGTTGACCACTGAAATGTCAAAGAGATGTCCACCTCAAAAATGTCCACCAAGTCGAAAGGCCTAAATGAATTGACTCATGACCATGGGCTCAAGTCAAGTCTGCTCATGTCTTTACTCCAGCACAGCCAGATTGTCATCGAAGCGGCCCCAGCCCTTGCCCCAGCTGTTGCCCTTATAACCTTGGCACCGCAACAGGAGGCTGGGCCACTGGGAAGGTCTCCCAAAAGGGGACATCGACCATAGACAAGCAGTGATGGTTTAATGCACGCGACCTCTCGTTGGCTCAAACCTGTGGACCTTCCATCAGAAAACACCGATTGGATAGGAGGAACCCAGTTCCATTGGACACAGGAATTGGTTGAAACGGAGACCACTCGAGTGGTCGCACAGTCGTTCCGTCGGGACGGTCGTCAGCGTGCACTTGGGGTGTCGGACGATGCCCAGAGGCTCCCGGTTTTGTGATACATCTCTTTGAGAGAAGAACGAACGAAAACCACCCAAACTCCTCAAGTTGCTGGTTTGCTGCTTTCACGTCCTTCTTAGAGTTTGCGCTCTGAATCGCAACTCATAAGCTCTATGTCAGTGACACACAGTTGGCACGGGTCGATGTAAGTTCCAAACTCTCTAAAGCCAGGCAGGGAGGTATGTAATTAAGTGGTCACTGATAAATCAGCTTCATCACTTCTTGTCATTTCTCCATGCGCACCCGTCAGTGATGGGAATCACACACACCAGTCGTTCAAAACGACTCGAACTGCGCGCCCTTCCCATCGGCCGTGTCCGAGAATGGTTCTGAAGTGTGAACTTAAACCGGGAGAGGCCTTGCTCAAATGGGAGTTAATCTAATCGTACTGTTCAGGCTTTGCAGTGATCGTTTGTGCTTTGCACCATTGTTTGCATGCCACACTTGCATCTTAGCCCAATGGGATAAGGGGGGTCTTTGGGAGGTCTCGCTCTTCCGATACAGACCCATGTGAACTCTCTCTCCAAGTCACTCGGCTTCCACTGCGTCTGCTGCACCCCAGGCCCACTGCCACTCTCGCCCTGCGCCTCGCCACCCTGTGCTTCGCCGCCTTCAGACATGGCCTGTGCCGGACCGAGGATTGGCAGTTGAAACCTCGCGACTCCAAAAGCCCGCAGTTTTGACAGCAGGGAAAGCTGAGAAAACATACGTCCTTTGTGAAGGATCGGTTTTCCTGGATCCATATTCCATTGGCGTACCTGAGTCAGAATGCAGCTACAAATCCATATGAGACGTGGCGACCTCAGGTTCTACAACCTTTGTCTTTTTCCCGTCGAAACAAGCATAACGACACGGCAGCCCATGTCGTCCGCCGAGCTGCGTGCCTGGACAGGGCGCAAAAGCGCGCCGGGCGCGCACGAGTTCGTGCCGCTTGATGTGTTTGAGCCAAACATTGATCGAGATGGGCCCATCGGTGGAGGTGGTGAGACTGGTGAGATCCATTGGTTGGAGGGTTGGGAAAGGTGACAGATGTTCAGACTTCAGATGTGCAACCCAATCAGTGGCATCGTTACCCTTCAAAACTGAAGCCTGAGAAAAGGACGGAACTGACCGTTCGTAGATAAGCTGCTCTGGAACCATTTTTGCAACCCGTGGTTTGCAGGGGAAAACCTTTTCAAAGCCCAGTTTTTGAGCTACTGTTGCAGGAACAATAAGTTGCATCCGAGAGTCAGTCAAGCACACATTCAAAAAGCATTGGGGAAAACCGGTGGCAACTCTAAAATGATGCCAGCATGGACCCTAAGCGGTTGAAAAACCTTCTTTCTTGGGGTCAACTCCTTGCATTCCAATCTTGGTGGTCACTTCTGTATTGGGAATGGCATGTGCACAAAACATGTGGGACTCTCTTTTGGTTTTTGGTGCGCGGGGTCACATCTGCAAACACCAGGGGGGATATTTATATATATATATATACAAGTCATGAGAGAATCGGAGGATAGGACAGCAGGAGGAGAAGAGGAGGCGAGCTAGGACACCAGGAGGACAAGGAGGACCACTGGAGACAAGAATAGGACAAGAAGAGGACAATAGGACAAGCGCGGCCAAAGACTGGCCAGCCTTTTTCTAGAGATTTTGCCTGCATAGACCCCAAACAGTTTCCGCATGGTTTTGCGTCAATTCCTTGAATTCCAATGTTGGCGGTAACGCTTGCATTGGGAATGGCATGTAAACGTTAGAAAACAATTGTTCCTGATTCCCGAGGTCACATGTGTAAACACGACCGGATACAATATGAAACGCTGCATCATTGTTGCATTCATAGCCACACGAACACGTACCTGGACAAGGCGGTGGATTCAGGGAAAGCACGTGGCCAAGCAGGGGATCCGGCCGGGACAAGGCAGTGATAAAAGGGCCGACAACACGGCACGGTGCGGCCAAGCAGGACACACAAACGTGGACAAGCATGGACAAGGTCCAGGCAAGGCCTGGACAAGGCCCGGAAAAATTGGACGAGGCCACGAAGGTGTTTGGGGAACAAAGGAAGAATGGGAGGACACAGCGCGGCTGGAGAGCAGCGGACAAAACAAGGAGGACACAGGATTCGCGCGTGCCAGACGAGAAGTGGAGGACATGTGGAGGACAAAAAGAGGAGCAGAAGAGGACAAAAGGAGGAAAACACAAAGGGCAAAAAAAGGACAACAGGATGACAAGGTCTGGAGCCCGGCTGGAAGCACCGCCAAGCTGCACAGTATAAGAAGGGCAAGAAGGGGACAAGGTCTGCAGACCAACGCTTTGTTCGACGACGCTGCGCGATTTGTTCGACGCTTCCGATGCTTTCGGACCTTTCACAGGTCTCCGTCCCACCGCAGCTGCGCGATTTGTTCGACGCTTCCGATGCTTTCGGACCTTTCACAGGTCTCCGTCCCACCGCAACACCGCACCGCGACAGCACAGAACGCACCGGGCATTTGACGCTCAGATCTTCACCTGGAGACATTCGCCATGTTCGGACGCGACGTGACGCCGGGTTCGGACTCCGGGTTCGGACGGTGTGGGTTCAGGCATACGTACGGGGCAGGAGGCGTGCTGTGAGTTCGAAACAAGTAATACCATAAGCACGTACCATTCTGATCCATTCTAGCCGGTTGGGAGGTTCAGCGTATGTTCCACGCTGACCCTGGAAATTGTGTGTGTGTGTGTGTCGCACTCCGTATCCCGGAGTTTTATATTCAATTATAAATCTAAACACTCTCTGCAGAAGACCAGGCAGGATACATCGTCGCCTGGTCAGCGAAGCTGACGATGTATCCGAGGATATGGAAATGGGACGACATTTCCACATACCTCCCCTTCTAATCAGGGAAACAGAAGGAAATTGTACTCGACACACTTGTGCGTCGGTGCCTTTCCTTCTGTTGTCCCTTCTCTGGTCTACTCTACCCGGGCGGTTTCGCTCCCTAACTATTGCGCGTAATTAAAGACCACTAAGTTTTCAGTACAGGGCTAATGCAAAGCAATGTTTAACAGTTCAATCGCGCTGACCACCTCGCCTTGCTGTTCCCTCATTGATTTCCTTGTGGATTGTGATATCGAAAGAACCTTTATCTAAGTGTGTCTCGCTACGCTTTCCCACTCGGGTGTGTAGTGTGATCCCCGTCACAGGGGCGCTGAAACCACCGTGAATCACAAATCGAATTGGCCTTTCTGCACTCGCGGATTATGGTGTTGAATTCCTTTTGTCTCACCCATGAATCGACCGACCTCAAAGCTGCCGAGCTACGGTTTCCACGCCGCCGGGCATACGGAGAATAAACCCCCACCCCCTTCCCTCCCCCCTCTTTCTTTCTTGCGGCTTCTTCACTTGTTAGGTGTTTCTTCAGGCTTGTTAGGTTGTTCTTGAGGCTCGTTTCCCTGCCCCTCGGTCTCGCACTTTTTTGTTCCACTTATCTTTCTCTCTTGCCCTTTTCGCTTTGCTCTTTCTGTCTTTCTTTCCTTTCTAAGGCTTGTTAGGTGGCTATTCAGGTTTTGACTCCGTAGTTTGCCACTGGCAGCCATGCACGACACTACCCCTATTTTTCTCTCTTGCCCTCTTGGCTTGCTCTTTCTGTCTTTCTTTCTCTTTTTCTAAGGCTTGTTAGGTGGCTATTCAGGCTTTGCGCCGTGCGGCAGACATGCACGCCTCTACACCTATCTTTCTCTCTTGCCCTCTTTCGTTTGCTATTTTTCTTTTCCTGTTCTTTCTTTCTAGGGCTTGCTAGGTGACTACTTTGGAGCGCTCGCCGCACTGCGGCACCTTGTGTGTGTCGCACTCCGTATCCCGGAGTTTAATTCTATAAATTAACCACTCTCTGCAGGGGACCAGGCAAGATACATCGTCGCCTGGTCAGCGAAGCTGACGATGTATCCGAGGATATGGAAATGGGACGACATTTCCACATACCTCCCCTTCTAATCAGGGAAACAGAAGGAAATTGTACTCGACACACTTGTGCGTCGGTGCCTTTCCTTCTGTTGTCCCTTCTCTGGTCTACTCTACCCGGGCGGTTTCGCTCCCTAACTATTGCACGTAATTAAAGACCGCTAAGTATTCAGTACAGGGCTAATGCAAAACAATGTTTAACAGTTCAATCGCGCTGACCACCTCGCCTTGCTGTTCCCTCATTCATTTCCGTGTGGATTGTGATATCGAATGAACCTGTGACTAAGTGTGTGTGTGTGTGTGTCAAACCCTGTTTCCAAGGGTCTAATTTAAAGCAGGGGGACAGAGCTCCCTGATGCTACTCTGTCCAACGAAGCTAGGCATCAGAGAGGGAAGCAT